TATATATATATATATATATATATATATATTTGAAGTTGTGAGTCAAATTGGACTTTTTTTTTCTCAATATGGTATTAATACATGGATATTTCAAAATAGCACCCATAACAGATGTTGTCTGAAATAGGTGAATTCTGAGTCTCACTGTAGATACTTCAACATGTCATATAAAACAGGTGTTCTGAAGCTTTAGTGCAATTTAAACGTGAGTGGAGAACTTGTTAAAAAATAGATACTGGGGCTAGATGGTGACGTAGTGATAACATACCTGGAACCACATGAGAGAGATCTCAGATTTGCATCCAGTCCTGCGGCCTTCCTGCACATGCTGGGTGCACTGTGTGCCTGTGGTTCAGACTGGCTGAAACTGAGGCTGGATCGCAGTGTGAAGACCCTGTTGATGGGTGGCTGTCTCTCTCTCTTTCCTGGAAGATAGAAGTGAATTAACTTAAATATTTTAAATTATAAAACAAATGAACAGATTGTCAGAGTTTCTGAATCAGGTCTGAGGAGGGGCTCAAGAATTTTCATTTCTGACCGAGTTTCCAGTGTTGCTGGTGTTGATGGTTGGAGGCCACACTTGGAGAATCACTGGTGATGTGAGATTAAGAGTAATGGATAAAAGGTCATTCAAAAGTTGTCAGAAGACATTATGTACTGATGCTTGTCTACTTAAAACTAGTTCAGAAGTTCATTTGTCCCAAGTCTAGTGTCCAGGTGACCACTGTCTTATACTATCTTTTTGGTGGTTTATCTCTAAGAGTTCTTATTGTAAAGATCTGTTCAGAAACATACTTTTGAAAGAATCTGGAATTAACAGAGAAAAGAGGGAGAGAGAACATAGGGTTCTGCTGACAGACCCATGCTAGAGTAGGATGGTCTGCTCTGTTCTTCCTGGAAGATTCATGTGATGAAATAATTGTTATTTATTGAGTGCTCTGTGCCAAGCATATTCCAAGTATAGTACTTAATATCTTTTTTCAATTAAACCTCATAAAGTCCTACTTACCCATTTTGAAAAAGATTAGAGACCAAAGAAATTGGAATAATTTAGAAGGGGACTTCAAAAAGTTCATGGAAAAATAGAATTAAAGTACAAGTTAATTTTGGTATAAGACAGTTTTCAAATTCACACATAGTTGTGTTAAAATACACATTTGCCACAAACTTGTTGAAGACATCCTGTTTGTGATTCTATAGTTTTGATATATGACGGTGCTTTGGAGTATATATAAAGATGTTAAGGCTATTTTTTAATTAGTTTTTATTTCATAGTCATAAACTTTGCAATTAAGCTAGATTTGGAAGGGAATAAGGAAAATATAGAACCCAAAGAACTATAGTGAGAGCATGGGTTATAGAACATTGAGAGCAGATGGGGTGGAGGGGCGCTCTTCTGAGCTACAGAAAGAATGATCTCGTGGATAAGAGAAAAATGGAAGTCAAATTCATTAGAGTTAGGGCAGGCGGCGTGGTGGTTAAGGGGCTGGACTCCCACATGGCTGACCACGGTTCAAGTCCTGGACCTGGCGGCTTTCTCTCTCTCTCTCTGTCCCTCTCTGGTCAAATTAAAATAAACAAACAAATAAATAAATAAAAATAAAATAAAATAAATCTTTTAAAAAATTCATTAGACTTGTACACAATCAGCAGTGGTGATCTTGCTGATCTTGCCATTCTCAGACCCAAGTGCTCCATGGTGTCCACAGTATTCATACTCTTTTTCATCTTGCCAAAGATTACGTGCTTGCCATTCAACTACTCAGTCTTGATAGTGTAGATGAAAAACTGAGAACTGTTTGTTTTGGGCCCAGCATTTGTGATGGCCAAGATGCCAGGACCTGTGTGTTTCAAGATGAAGTTCTGATAATCAAGTTTCTCACCAAAGATGGACTTGCCAGTACCATTATGGTGTGTGAAGTCACCATCCCGGCTCCCTGCAATAATTCTGTGAAAGCAGGCATTCTTATAACCAAATCCTTTCTCTCCAGGGCTCAAAGCATTAAAGTTTTCTGCTGTTTTGGGAACGTTGTCTGCAAACAGCTCAAAGGAGATGTGGCCCAAGGGCTCACTGTTGTTAGTGATGTTGAAGAACCCAGTGGCATTGACCATGGCTGATGGTGAGCCACTTGGGTGACTATTGGCTTTTTTTTTTTTTTGTGGAGAGGT